TGGCCCCAGAAAGCCATTGTTGTAGCCACTGGAACCTGAGTGACCACCCCGGCCCCCCTCGTCCCTGCCTCAGCTTCCTGCCGGGGGTGAAGGAAGAGGCCAGGCATTGTCTTGGCATCAATGACCCTCTATCAAAACAAACGCCCAGCGAGGGGGGCGGCCTGGTGCCAACTGCCTGCGTAAGCCCGGGCGGCCTCGTTCCTCACAAAGAACCCTCAGGGCCTGGATGGGGCCCTTCTGGGGGGACCATCCTGTGGGCAGAGAGCAGTCTACCCCCAACGTAAAGCAAACTCCAAACCAGCACCCCCCACCCCCATTGCTAGCTGCATCTCGGTGCTTTAAGATACCTGAGCCCAGCCGGTGTGGCTCAGTGGTTGAGCATCGATCTGTGAACCAGGAGGTCATGGTTCGATTCCCGGTCAGGGCACAGGCCCGGGTTTCGGGCTCCATCCCCAGTGTGGGGCGTGCAGGAGGCAGCCGATCCATGATTCTCTCTCATCATTGATGTTTCTCTCTCTCTCCCTCTCCCTTCCTCTCTGAAATCAATGAAAAAAAAAAAAGTTACGGTTGAGTGGCTGGAGCCTCTCTCTCTCACTGGCACGTGTGGGAATAAGGATGAAATAAACAGCTTCGGAGAGGCGTTCCCTGAACTCCCCGGGGGAACTCCCTCGCGGGTTTGCGGCGTTGCGTAGAGATTAGCCGGCTCCCACGGGTATCTCGTATCTGGTCCTGGTCGTGGACATGCGCTGAGAGCCGGGAGCGAGGCCACTGCGGCCGGAAAATCCATCCTCTGCCATTCGTAGGACACAGCCCACGGGGCGTGTTGACCGGCCTGCGGCCCCACTAAGCACGGACAAGAGTTGTAGGACACAGATGACTCGCTGACATGATAGTGAATATCACCCAAGTGGAAGTTTTTATAGCATCTCATGGGGTGTGTTCTTTTTTTAATTGTTTTTTTAATCCTCACCTCAGGATATTATTTCCATCGACCTAGAGAGAGTGGAAGGGAGGGAGGAGGAGGAGAAAGAGAGAAACATCAACATGAGAGAGACACATCCATTGGCTGCCTTCCGCACGCCCCCTACTGGGGATCCAGCCCGCAACCCGGGCTTCTGCCCTGACTGGGAATCAAACCGTGACCTCCTGGTTCATGGGCTGACACTCAACCACTGAGCCACACCGGCTGGGCGGATGTTATTTTTTTTAATGTTTGAGGTCTTATTTTTTTTTGGGGGGGGGTGCGTTTAAAGACATGAAATATAGGTGGTTTGGGAAAGGTGTTTGGGACAGACTGGCACCAGAAACATGGAGGGTGGGATGTTCCCGTGAGGAGCGCCGACCAACCCAAGGTAAGGCCGCATTCGTTGGTTAAGATTTATTAATAATGAAGATAATTTTTAGAAAAGTAATAAGGTATCGGTATCTGTGATAATTAGATAATTCCAACTACATAGCCTTCCATTAATTCTGAAAATTGAAGCGGAAAGAGTTCCATTTTCCTTGTCAGTTATGTTTACCTCCCTCCAAAATGTGGGCTTCGTTGGGAGTAATCATTTCACTTTGATTTTTAATATCGCCAATGCCCCAGTTTTTGCTTTAAAAGCACAGTGGGTGTAAGAAGGACTGTTTAGCTCCCTGGGATTCCTGTGTCACCAACACAGGGGACTTAGAAAGCGGATGAGCACCCTGGCTGGTGTGTTCAGTGGTTAGAGCGTCATTGAAGGGTCCCGGGTTCAACTCCCTGTCAAGGGCACGTACCTCAGTTGCCCGTTCGCTCCCCACCCCTGGTCACGGACCATATGAGAGGCAACTAGTTGATCTGTCTCTCTCACATCAGTGCTTCCCTCTCTCTCTCCCTCTCCCTTCCTCTCTGAAATCAATAAAAAAAAAAAAATTTTTTTTTTTAGCCCAGCCATCATAGCTCAGTGATTGAGTGTCAGCCTATGAACCAGGACATCATGGTTCGATTCCCGGTCAGGGCACAGGCCCAGGTTGCAGGCTCGGTCCCCAGTGTGGGGCGCGCAGGAGGCAGCCGATCCGTGATTCTCTCTCATCATGGATGTTTCTCTCTCTCCCTCTCCCTGCCTCTCTGACATCAATAAAAATATATTTTAAAATATACAGATATATTTTTTTAAAGTTAAATTCTGAAAGGAGACATAATGCTTTACATTTTGGGACACAAAGGGATGTGTTTCTGTTCTTCAGCCCACACCTTCCTTTTGGTTTCAACCTGGAAAAGCAAGGCGTGCGAAAATATTAGTCCCTCCGACTCCATTGTTGCAGCGTATCCCAATTTCAAATCATGGCGGACGTGTCAGGAAGAGTTTCACAGAGGGAGAAGGGGAGGGGGAGAGAGAGAGAAACATTGATGTGAGAGAGGCACATTGGCTGGTTGCCTCCCGCACGCCCCTACTGGGCATTGAGCCCACAGCGTAACCATTGTATCGTTTGGACCTGGGAGCCCACAGCCCTGCGCCCGAGAAAGCAGCACTTTCTGGGCTTGGCCGAGGTCAAGGGCACCGGAAAGTGTGTGGAACAATGGCCGTTGTCTTTAAAGGGCTTCGTCCCTTTCCCGTGTGGCAGCAGCCGCTTCCTGCTGCTCCGTGTCTAATGGAACTGCAGCAGTGAACTTGGAGAGATGGGCGGGGGGGGGGGGGGGAGCCGCTGCAGGAGAGGGGGCCGCCCCTGAAAGCAGGCCTTTGTGTGCGCTGGGCTGGGCCCGTGGCACCCGGGGCACAATCGGCTCTTGTTTGTTTGGGGAAAGCGAAGGCATCCTATCGCAATTATTTATGGAAGAGAATCGGTGATGTTTTTGGAAGAGGTTGGGGGTGGGGGGGATGCGGGAGGGAAGGAAGGAGGGACGCTCACCTTTGGCCCCGTCCACGCCAGATCTGTCCTTGGGGTGTGTGTGGGGGGGGGATGTTGGGGGGCCAGAGAAATGAGGGCATCCCCGGCTTCGGGCCCAGGAGCAAGAGGCAGGATGGGCGAGGGGAGGGGGCCTTCCAGACCCTCTTTTGTTTGGGTGCTTTCCTTGCACCGTGGCCCACACTCCCCCCTGCCCCACCCCCATGTTCACTGCTAGACTTGGATGTCCGTCCATTGTTGCTCTTCAGAGTTTTAACGAGTTCCATGCCCCCGCGTGGATACCCCAGAGATTGGCCCTGTTTCACCAGGGACTTGCCGAAGCCACTTTCATCTATGGAACATTCTAGCTTTTCTCTCTGCTCCTCAGAAGACACAGATATCGCCCTGGCCTGTGTGGCCCAATGGCTTGGCCATCTTCCCAGGAACCGAAAGGTTGCTGGTTCAATTCCGTCTGGGCTGGATCCCCAGTAGGGGGCGTGCAGAGGCAGCTGATTGATGATCCATTCTCACATCTCTCTTTCTCTCTCTCCTCTCCCATTTCCTTTCCTCCCTCTCTAAAAATCAGTTATAAATATTTTTTAATATGTATTTTTATTGATTTCAGAGAGGAAGGGAGAGGGAGAGAGAGAAATATCCATGATGAGAGAGAATCATGGATTGGCTGCCTCCTGCACGCGCCCTACTGGGGATTGAGCCCACAGCAGGGGCATGTGCCCTTGGCCGGAATCGAACCTGAGATCCATGATTCTCTTTCCTCATTGATGTTTCTCTCTCTCTCTCTCTCTCTCTCTCTCTCTCTCTCTCCCCCCCCCCCCTTCTCCCTTCCTCTCTGAAAGCAGTAAAAAATAATAAATAAATAAGTATACTTAAATACCTAATACAGTTACATAGAACTAAGTGTAAACTTTTCAGGGGTCTAGATCTTTTCACAACTATACGTTAAATCAGCGTACACATTCAATGCAGAGGAAACCAGCAAACAAAAAGCCAACCCCAACAGGAATTGCAGGACAGACCTGGCTGACGTTTTACTGCCACTGAGTCAGCCCTGGAACCGTGACTAAGCTACTAACCTCGAAGGCGTGAGTCCCTGCGAGTTATAGGGAGCCTCCCGCTGGCATTTCAGTCGGCTGTTCGCTCTAAGGGTTGTAGAGCCTCCATAGCACCATGACATGCCACGTAAACTACATGTCCGTATGTTAAATGTACTCTTTTCCCCTCTCCATTTTGCGGTTGCAGCCACTAGAATAACCCACTTTGCTTCCGGTGAGTTTTCTAGGTAAACGTGGGTGCTAAACTCACTTGGGCAGCCCGAAGTTCTTAAGAAGGGTTAAATAGATGAACTGGAAGATAGAAGAGTAGATCATACTTAAAGTGAGCCACAGACAGGAGTTAGTAAGGGGGGCTCAAGAATGGGCAGAACAGCTCCCGGTGTGGGAAGCAGTACACGGTAACTGGCCGGCACGTGCCTGGTGTTTGAGACCCCGTGTGGGCTTGGGATCGTGGCCCCGTTTGCATGCCTCACGTTTAGTTTTAGCGTTTACTGCTTTTAGCATCACTATGTCTAGGCCTTCTCCCTGGAATTGGCTGTTTCAGGTCTACTCTGGGCTTGGAAGTGAAATATTTCATCCTGCTGAAAGTGTATATGCGAGCGAATATAAACGTAGCGGGCGGTGGGTTTAGATGAGTGACACGTAATCATGAATACATAGCCACTGTGGCCGCCTTGTTACTTACTATACTGGATGTTGGGTCTGTAACCATTTCTGTTTCTTTTTTTCCTTTTCTTTTTCTTTCTTTCATTATTACCTTTTGTATTTACTTATTTGTTTGTTTATTTTTGGTAACCGTTTTTGAAAGGGTAGCATGTTAGCTGAGGGGTGAGTAAGACAGGGGTGAGACGTGCATCCCTGGGGCCAAGGGGCCAGGACTTGAAGTGCCAGAGGATGGGAGGGCCTGACCGGCGTGGCTCAGGGGTTAAGCATCCACCTATGAACCAGGAGGTCATGCTTCCATTCCCGGTCAAGGCCACGTGCCCGGGTTGCAGGCTCGGTCCCCAGTAGGGGGCGTGCAGGAGGCAGCCGATCCATGATCCTCTCTCATCATTGATGTTTCTCTCTCTCTCTCTCTCTCTCTCCCTTCCTTTCTTAAACCAATAAAATATATATGTACATTTTTTAAAAGGGTGGGAGGGAATTTACTAGCTCGTCCCACGGAAACACATGCATGTTACATACATGCATGTTCCCATATATTCCCGGCGGCCTCTGCATTCCAAGGCCAGGCCGGCCTGGGTCCCTCCCCCGCCACAGGTCAGTGCTGGTGAAGTCACCAAGGGTGTCCAAGGTACAAAAGCCCCAGCAGAGCCTGTTGCACATGCGAGCTCCTCTATGAACGATAAATAACAATTACCAGGCAAGCCCGGGCAGAGCAGCTCGGGGAGGCTGTACGAAGGGAGATGCCAGGCTTTCCGGAGGCGGCAACATCCCTCCCTGTCGGACAGCAAGGACCGTGCCGACGCATCCCCGCCACCCTCCCTTCCACCCTCGGGTAGTTGCCCCGCGTGGCCCCAGCGCAGGCGGCCCCGGAGCAGAGCCCGTTTGCGAGTGCGGGGCCCGGGCAGGCATCCCGGGTGATGCCCGGTCCTGCCCCCGGCCTGCAGGCCAGGACAGAGCCCTGCTCAGCTCGCCCCTCTCCCGGTGACGCGTGTGGCAGGGAGCAAGTGAGGACAGGACCGGGTGGCTGTGCCGGCTCCGCTGATGTCACTGCACTCATCACGGGACCGTCAAGTGCTGCGGGTGAGAGTTCCTGACTTCTGAGATGAGAATGGCGGGCCCCACTGAAGAGTTGCCATTGCATTGGGGCCCGGCCAGTGCAGCTCAGCCGTTCAGCGTTGACCCAGGAACCCAGAGGCCGCCGGTTCGATTCCCGGTCAGGGCACATGCCAGGGCTCCATCCCCAGGGAGGGGCGTGCAGGAGGCAGCTGGTCCGTGATTCTCTCTCATCATCGATGTTTCTCTCTCTCTCTCCCTCTCCCTTTCCTCTCTAAAAAAAAAAAAAATCAATAAAAAAATATTAAAAAGAAAATACTGTTTTAAAAAAAGAAAGAAATTGCATTTGGGCCCATTGGTCCTGGAAGTTGGTATAACCTCCTGGTGGTGAGCCACTGGGTTTCTCATTGGTGTGGGTTTGTAAAACCTGTTCACTTCCTATTTTTTTAAAATTTTTTTATTGATTTCATTCTAGAGAGGAAGGGAGAGAGAGAGAGAGCGAAACATCCATGATGAGAGAGAACCATGGACCGGCTGCCTCCTGCACGCCCCCTACTGGGGATGGAGCCTGCAACCCCGGGCATGTGCCCTGACCGGGATTCGAACTGTGACAACCTGGTTCACAGGTTGATGCTCAACCACTGAGCCACACTGGCCGGGCATCGCTTTCCCTAGTTCAGAATGGGATGGGCATCTGCCCCTCTCAGGAATGTTGTGCGTGTAGAGGGCGTCGGACAGGGCCTGGCGTGTCATCCGTGCCCATCAAGCAGCCGGTCATGGTGGCCGTGGCCGACTCCTCGAAATCATGAAAATCCCCAAATCCCTCCCCCACGTCTGAACCCTGCCAGTCGCCGAAGCTTGATCGATATTTATTGCATCTGATACTTGTGTGCGCACACGGAAAGCGCCCACCCGTGTTACAAACGCCACCCCACGGTAGCACCTCCTCGTGGATAGGACTCGCTGGCTGTGGGAGAGCGAGGGGTGGAACGTGTAAGCCGCCTTTTCCTCGCGACGCTGTCCACGTTGCCGCTGAAATTAAAGATGTTGGGAAAGCCGGGAGAAACCATTTACTATTCTCCTTCGTAATGGGTTTCCTGGAAGCAAGATGGCATGTCCGTGAGCCGCCGTGAACGATGCTGCTGCTGTGAGTTACTGGCGAGGAGCGTTGACCAAGAGCGGAGAGAGTGACTAAGGCTGACCCGTGTTCCATATTCCTGGGGAGGACAGACTCAGGCTGCACATCTGTAGACTTCCCCTGGGGTTAGCTCTCCTCCTGCTCTGCCCTGTACGTAACGGGAGATTGCAGGTTCTTAGGCCTCTGGGGGAGGGAGGTGGGAGGTGCCAGGAGCCCGTTTGTGTCTCTTCGGAATTTTCTGTTGTTGCCCTGGCCGGTTAGGCTCAGGGGTGACCAGCAGACAGACCAAAGGGTCTCAGGTTCGATTCCCGGTCAAGGGCATGTACCTGGGTTGCAGGTTCAATCCCTGGCCCTGGTCAGGCCTCATGCAGGAGGCAGCCAATTGAATGGGTACCCCAAGTCCTCTGCAGAGTCATTCGGGGTCCCCCCTAAAGCCAGGACATGCCTGATGTGACTATGTATTGCATCTAGTGCATCTTGACCTCCCCGTCCATGACAAAGTAACCGATTCCGTGAAATGCCATAGAAAGTAACCAGTTACGTTCAATGCCCCGTAGAATCCTTTCTTTTATAGGAACTTGATGCTTTAACTACGTGAGAACAATGACTCCAAGCCCTCGGAAACACTTAGTTACAACCGCTGGCCTAATGGCGCATTATTCTTATTCAGTGAAACAGGTCCCCAGGGCTGCTTAGGATCCCGATTCTTGTTATTGTGCCAAGCCTTCCCCGGAGAAAAACTCCATACATTAAAAAATAATCCCCAATTCAGACTTTTATGCAAACGAGTCATTTTGCCGCGCGCCCAGCTCCATTTGACCACATTCGGTGCGTGGAGGGAGAGAGTATTTTTGCGTGGCTACTGCCCTCAGTCCCCACAGTCCTTGCCCTCCACGCCTTTAGCATCAGCCACGTCTGAGATAACGGGAGGCTAAGTAACTGAAGTATTGACCTGTCATTTAAAATAAATAAATAATATATATATATATATATATTAATTGATTTCAGAGACTAAGGGAGAGGGAGAGAGAGAGAGAAACCTCAACGATGAGAGAGAATCATGGATCGGCTGCCTCCTGCACCCCACCCTGGGGATGGAACCCGCAACCGGTCATGTGTCCTGACCGGGAATCGAACCGTGACCTCCTGGTTCGTGGGGCGACGCTCAAGCACGGCGCCAGGCATTGTGGGATAATTTTTAACATTTCTGTCGAGTATTCATGCTGCTGTAAGGAGCTGGAGGACACTGCAGCTCTTGGATCCCGGGAGAGGCAGGCCCCGAGGGCTCCCGCTGCTTGGGGACAGTCTGTGACTCGACAGCTTTTCATAGGCAGCAGTGACAACCTTGAAAAACCCGGGGTGACTCTCAGATTGACGTCTGTTGCCTCGAACTTTTTCGTTTGTTTGTTTAATGCATCTCAGTGGCAGAGACCGGATCGCCCAGCCTCGGCCGCTGCTGCGGTGTTTGCGTCGCTGTGTTTTGGTGAAAACTGACGCCCTCGCCCTTCTCCCGACGCCTTGTTTTTGATCGGAAAAGGCTTTATTTATGGAAGTGATTGAGTGTGAAAAGCAAAGCAGAGGTGCATCGGAGGGCTGGTTCCCGGGCGCTGTCACGAACGGCCCGCTGATCAGACGTCCGCCAGGACTAGCTCAATACACTCTTCTAAGACGGAGACAGCGAGGGTGGGGTGGTCCTGTCCTTTGAGGTCTTGCTGCGTCCAGGCCTGAAATGCTCTCTCCCCTCCCTTCAGCCGAAACACCCTCTGAGCTCGGGCCCGGCCTCACCCCTCGAGGGAATCCGGTCTGTCCTATAAAGTGATGTAAGTGGCGGTTCTTCGTGTGATGTCAAGGCAACTGATTGATTCGGTGTTCTTGTCGACCTGGTCAGCCCGGTTTGGTCCAATCTCAGAATGGGTTTCCAGGTAGACAGGTTACTTTTTTTTTTTTTTTTAAATAGGGAGATCTGTTTTATTTTATTTTTTATAAATATGTTTTTTTTATTGATTTCAGAGAGGAAGGGAGAGGAGAGGGAGAGATAGAAACATCAATGATGAGAGAGACTCATTAATCAGCTGCCTCCTGCACGCCCCCCACCCCACTGGGGATTGAGCCCACAACCCCGGCATCTGGCCTTGACCGGAATCGAACCCGGGACCCTTCAGCCTCAGGCCGAGGCTCTATCCATTGAGCCAGACTGGCTAGGGCTAGATTACTTTTTTAAAAAATATATATTTTTTTATTGATTTCAGAGAGGAAGGGAGAGGGAGATAGAGAAACACCCATGATGAGAGAGAATCATTGGATCGGCTGCCTCCTGCACGCCCCCTACTGAAGATCGAGCCTCCAACCCAGGCATGTGCCCTGAACGGAATCGAACCGTGACCTCCTGGTTCCTAGGTCGACGCTCAACCACTGAGCCACACCAGCTGGGCTAGGCAGCTTTCTAATGTTTGTTTTCTACCTAAGTGGGTGGGGTATAGTATTTGCATTGGCTGTTTGGGGGAGGTGAGTGATCCTGTCGATGGCAGGGCCTTCAGAATCTCATGTGAATACCTGGACAACAGTTCGCATTGCTGAATGGCCTATTGATAGTCGTAGTCGAAAAATTTTCCGGAAATTGCACAAAGGCTTTTTTGTTGTTGTTTTAAGGGAGAGAGGAGCGGGAAGAGGGCTCCTCGGTTCCAGAAGAATCTTTAGGGCAGTTATAGGCTCTTAGGAAGCATCCTGTAATAGTAACACAGATACGTACGCTTCTATCACATAAGCCATTAATCATGCTCTTGACAGGGAGGTGATGTTCCAATTTTGTTTGTTTTTTTTCTAAGCAAATCTTAAACACTGGAGCTTTATTTTTTGTTGTTTTGTTTTCCTTTTTTTCTTTTTATTTATTAAGAAGTCATTTGGAGCCAGTCACTTAACCTGTTTTTCATAAACGTGCTAGCCAAAGGCAGCCAAAACAACACCCATGCCTCCATAATTGGGGTCCTCGAGTGAACTTACGTGTTAGATCATGATAGCTCTTGTAATCGCTGGAATTATCCCTGTTGAGTAACCATTCGGACCCTGAAGTCAGGACTTATTGATTATGACCAGATGTCTATTCTGAGGACTCTCTGGATGCCATCTCCTAACGCAAACCCTCTTAGCCCGGCCACTGTGGCTCCACGATTGAGTGTCAACCCAGGAACCAGGAGGTCACAGGTTCAATTCCCGGTCAGGGCACATGCCCGGGGTTGCGGGCTCGATCCCCAGTAGGGGGCGTGCAGGAGGCAGCCAGCCCATGATTCTCTGTCATCACTGATGTGTCTGGCTCTCTCTCCCTCTCCCTTCCCCTCTTTGAAATCAATGAAAATATATTTTATTGTGTGTGTGTTTAATCCTCACCTGAGGATATGTTTCCATTGATTTTTAGAGAGAGTCAGAGACAGAAATATCAATGTCAGAGAAACACATCGATGTGTTGCCTCCTGCACGTGCCCTGAGCAGGGTCCGGGCCTGGGAGGAGCCTGCAACCGAGGTTACATGCCCTTGACCAGAATTGAACCTGGGACCCTTTGGTCCACAGGCCAATGCTCTATCCACTGAGCAACACCAGCCAGGGCAAAAATATATTTTTAAATGTTCTTTGACACCTTCAGAGATACTGAACATTTTTCAACACTCGCCTTCCGGGGTAGACAGGATCCCTCGCCTTCCTCATTGTTGACTTGGCCACAGAGTAGCCCTTAAAGGAGGACCAAGCCACGTGCCATTTCCTGGCTGTCACCAAGCGGGTCCAGAAGGAAGTCTAGACCGAGGTAGAGATACACGGAGTCTCCTGGGCTTGCGTGGTAGTGGGATTGCTGGTTTTTCATTTTATTTCACCCTGCACAGTGGTCTATATAGAATTAACCGTTGCCAGAGGAGAAACGACACCTGCATACAGAATCCTATTCTCGTCGGCAGTCCGTTCTCATCACTGCGGTGAGAGAAAAAAAAAACATCATGCCATCTCGCCAGGAGCTGAAACGCACTGGCACTGGAGACGTTCCTGCGGACGGTGCGTGCCGCTAATTCCCTTTGTTTGTTTGTTTTTCGAGCAGATGGGCTTGTTTGCTTTTTGCTTAACCATTAATCAAAAATCAATTCATGGCTGTGTAAGTGGCAGTGGATCATTCTCGTTCTCACTACAGTAAATAATGCCTATTTGTTCACGTTAGATAACTCCGGGCGGCGGCGAGACACAAGTCCATGCGGCCTGGCTCATGGCTGCGTGTTTTATACGGGAACGCTGTGGGGCGCTAACCGTAGGCAGCGCGGGCGGATTCCGGGGGAAGGACAGGGTAGCAGGTCGGAATGAATTTGGGGGATGAGGAGACGGTGAGTTTGAGTGGTATCTCTTTAGCACAGCATCCCACATTATATGCTGGGGTATGAATCGTGGCAAAAGGACCATTCTAAGTACTGAACATTTTAGTGTAAGCCGAACATGCTCTTAAAACTTTTCTGTTCACATATATCTCTATCTATATCTCTACCTATATCTGTGTCTATATCTATATGCCTACCTATACCTTACCTGTCTATATCTATATATCTATATCTATATAGCTAACTATCTATATATCTAGCTATGCCTGTGTCTTTATATACCTACCTATACCTTACCTATGTCTATATCTATCTATATCTATATATCTATGTCTGTACCTATATCTATCTATATCTATATACCTACCTATACCTAAGTCTATATCAATATCAATATCTATATATCTACATCTACCTAAGTCTATATCTATATTTATATATCTATATCTATATCTAGCTATATCTATCTATATACCTATACCTATGTCTATATCTATATCTATCTACCTATACCTATGTCTATAGCTATAGCTCTATATCTATCTACACTTACCTATCTCTCTATATCAATATAGATTGGGGGGTTGGGGTGGGGGGCATGTGATGACATACAGACGAATATGTCTTCCCTAATCTTCTAGCTGGCATGTTTACTCATAAGTTGTTTGAGCTCGTCATGTTTGTGTAAATGTAGCCGCCATGTTCTTGACATTAGCAAACAGAAGTGTGGGTTTTGCGGAGCAGCCACCTATAGTCTCTCTGGAGAGCAGTACACATTCTCTTACTGGAAACATCCAGGGAAAGTGAGCGGCTCTTGACATTATGACAAAGGAGCCCCTGTGCCTAGATCCGTTCTCTGCACGACATCGCTTTCAGTGAGCCAATGGGAGCCTTTGCTTTCTTCCCTGAGATCCCTGCAGCCTTGAAAGGGCGGCGAGTGTAAGGAAGCTGCTGGATGCCTGTCTTCTCTTCCTTCTGTTAGAGGACGTGTTCCAACTGTAATCACATTTGCATCGTTTAAAACACTAGTGATCAGTCATGCCAACAGCCTGACCTCTGAGCCAGCCGAGGAGCGTAGCCGCAAAAGCTCCAAGACACCGTCGGGCACCCGGCGACCCTCTCTGCACACCACGCTGACCCCCAGAGCTTTTCACGGGAGCGTTAGCGTGAACGAGTGAATGAAGTGGGGGAGTGATGGGCTCTGTGTCCCGCGAGGGGACTGGTCCCTGCAGGCTCCGCTGCTGGTGGACAAGTCAAGAAATAGGTTCCTCTCCCATAGCCATAGGTCTTAAAGATGTGGACCTTTAAGAATACACAAGCTCACCCTGTCCGGTGTGCTCAGGGGTTAGAGCATCTGCCCACTCACAGAAGGGTCTCAGGTTTGATTCCCGGTCAAGGGCACCTGCCTGGGTTGCAGGTTTGATCCCCCATCCTGGTCAGAGGGCGTGAGAGAGGCAGCCATTCAGTGTGTCTCTCTCACATCGATGTTTCTCTCTCTCTCTCTCTCTCTCTCCCCGTCCATCCCTCCCTTCTACTCTCTCTAGAAATCAGTGGGGGGAAAAATATACTCAGACCTGGCTGGCGTGGCTCAGTGGTTGAGTGTCAACCTACAAACCAGGACATCACAGTTCGATCCCCGGTCAGGGCACATGCCTTGGGTTGCAGGCTCAATCCCCAGTGTGGGGTGTACAGGAGGCAGCCAATCAATGATTCTCTCCCATGATTGATGTTTCTATCTCTTGCTCCCTCTCCCTTCCCCTGAAATAAATTTAAATATATATATATGTGTGTGTGTGTATATATATATATATATATATATATATATATATATATATATTCACATATATTATATATATATGTATGTATGTATTTAAGAGTCCTTTGTACCTCTCTTTATGTTGAAAGCTTGGACCGGCCGGCTGGCCGGCTGAAGGTGACAGTGTGGCTTATCACCAGAGTGTAAAGTCCTGGGGGTCCCTCTTGGGTGCCTTCTCTGACCTTGGCCAGCCCAGGGAGGGGCTCCTCTGGAAACCGGCTTCGAAAGGTGGTCTGTGCAGACCTCCTGGGGGCCACCTGGTTCCGGGGAACAGCAGGGTTTCTGGGCTAAGGTGCTATACAGGAGGAGGAGGAGGGCAAGAAGAAGGCTAGGTTGTGATAGACCGCGAATAGCCATCCAGTGCGGGATCGGAGATGAATTACACCCTGCACGGAAAATGCAAATGACCTGCTCATGTCGTGTCAAGTGCCCTTAATGCCATCATCTCTGTTTCCGTTTATATGTGTTTCCAACCCAGGGCCCCTTTCGCGCGCCATCACAGCTCCAGGAACTTGCGATGCAAAAGGTCTCACAGGGCGTGTGGTGGAAGGTAACGATTTTCAGTGCCGGGACTTAACGCCCGAAAAGACACCGCTGAGACCTGAAGGTGATGGGAGCAGGAGGGAGAGTCCACCAATGTGCCCTGCTCCCTTCTGATGTTTT